ATGAAGGAGGTGTCTGCTTGGGGAGATGGGGCAGACTACCCCTGGGTGTAATCAGACTAAGGAACAGGGGGGTGCCTGTTAGAAAATGAGATTAGAGGGGTCTTGCGGGAAGAACCTCAGAGCCTACCAAAGAGGAATGCCCTCACAACTGCTGGGGGGAACTCTCCCACTGTGATGAAAGGGTGGATGATTCAGGGTCTTGGAGACAGCACCCATTAGGAGAGGCTCTGCTTGTAGGCAGCACTGTAATAGGGAAAGGAGACAGGTTCCCAAATGGAGATTGTGATGGAGGGTGGGTATGGAGGAAGATGGCCTCCTGGTTCAGTCCTAAAGACTAAAGGGGATCTATATTGACTGTGCCTTGGTGAGGGTATGGAGTGTAGTGTGGGCCACACTGCACAGGATCTGAAATGGCATGGACTAAGGACTTATTCCCTCCAGGACTGGGTTTAGGGATTATGGGGAACTTGTGGGGAGCAGGGCCAGTGCATCTGTGCCTGGTCCGCTGACCCCAATTGATACTGAGCTCATTCAATCCTATAGGATCATCACAGTGCGGAGGCAATATATGGGGGGAGGGCATGGCGGGTTAAGTGCTCCCCCCAGATTGGCGGGGCAGGGAGGGAGAGAGGCTCTGTCCTTCTCTCCCTGCATTACTATTGATAAATTATTTTCCCCATCTAGTAAAGGACCAATATGATTGTTGGGATTCTTTTTGTTCCCAATATATTTTTTAAAAACTTCTTATTGTCCTTAACTCTGCTAGCCATAGAGTTCTCCTTGTGTCTCTTTGCTTTCCTTATCAATTTTCTATTGTTTCTACTTCTGATTTATATTAATTACTATCAACTTTCCCTTTCTTCCATTTGTTATATATTACTTTTTTATAGCTGCTTTCATTTCCCCTCTAAACCAAAAAAATTTTTTTAAACTAATATGGCCTTCTTCCTCGATTGTAGCTTTTTGGGCATCTATTAAAATGTTCTTAAACAGTTGCCAATTATCACTCACATTTTTCTGACTAAATTCTTCCTCCCAGCTGATTTGGCTCATAATTATTTTCAGCTTTGTGAGCTTGACCCTTTTAAATTTCAAAGTTATATTGATTAGTGATCTGGACTTTATTCTATGTTGTTTCCTCTCTACCTGTGTGTTTCTGAGAGATATTTGTATAGAGCTTTATATCCTGATCACTACATGATCTTGTGAAAGTCTCGTAGGCCCTAATTTTGGTTTTTAATTTAGCCTGTAAGCCACAGAATACCTGTATCAAGTAGCTCTATTCTTGCTTCACAAGAAATATTTAGCCAGGATTGTGGAGAGGCACATAAAACCCTCTTGCATCATTCAGGCCAGAAACTCATAAGTAGAGTCTTTGTTCTTGCTCTTCAGAAAAGCTGATCTTATTTTACTTATATGGCTTTAACACCGGACATAAAGTTGGCAGTGAATTCCTAGCTATGCATAAGCAATAAGATTTGATTTCATGAGCCCGTAATAACTCAGTGAGCAGAGGTGGAGGTTCTTACTGGTGTGGGCTTGATCTCTGTGGCAAAGGAAGAAGCAGCACTTCAACGATGTTCCAGTGTTTCAGAAAATAGGCTGAGGAGTCTGAAACATCAACATGCACAGTTCCTCTCTATGAAGCTTGCCATTCCTGATACAGACTCTGTTCCTGTCAAGCTCGGCACTCTGCATTCCCAGTGAAGTCTTTGGGGACTGAGAGGCTCAGGAGATGCTTGAACTCAGTGGGAGTTGAGGGCACCCAGCACTTCACTGGCAGCCCTCAGCACCTTGCAGGGTTGTGCCCACGCAGCCCACAGGGGTTCAAAAGGTAAAATTCACTGCAGTGCAGAGGGTCTTGCGGTGGGTGTTTGCACCACTTTGTATGGGAGGTCTGCCAACTGAGCGGCTGCCTGACTGTCCCTTGTATGCTACAGGAAGGGTCTTGGCTCAGGCTCCACATGGAGTGCCATGAAAGGCCACATTGGGGGAAGGCTGGGGGAGGGGGGCACAGGGGAGAAGTTACAAAGCCATATTTAAGGCCACTGGATCAGCATAACACCACCTTCAGTGGGTGCAGAGGAACTGTGCCTGCTAATCCAAGTCTCAGCAGACGCTGTGGATTTCACCTTCCTAACTGCCCTGTGCTCCTTGCACATAGAGCCCAAATACTCAGGTTCCACGTCGTTGCAGTGATTTCACCCTTAATGCACCTGCTTTCCTTACGCCATGTTGGCATTTAGGTTTGCAAACATGTTTGAGCTGTAGCTCATGAAAGCTTATGCTCAAATAAATTTGTTAGTCTCTAAGGTGCCATAAGTACTCCTTTTCTTTATACATGTTTTTGTTGCCATTTTGGGGAGTAATATTACCTTAAAAGTGTCCTCCTTTGGATTGAAGCAGCACTGCAGAAAGGTGCCAGATTGATTTGCCTGCTCCATAATTGTGGTTCTGAATTTAGCCAGGAAGCAGTAACGTACAAAGTGTATGCAAGAAAATGCATGTTAAAGAGAGTAGATGAAACAAAAGGAAGGGAAAAGCCAGGCGAACACATTCTTAGCAAGTGGCAAAACTCATGCGTCAGGCTGCCTGAAATTTTCTACAACAAACTTTGCGTGCCTTCTGCTGGGAAGTCTGTATCTTTAAAGCCAATGTTTTCAGGGTTAGAATGTTGAGATAAAGATTGAGGTTGGTACAGAATGAATTTTTCAGTAACAATTACCCAGACGCCAGTTTTAATACGATGGATCAAATATAATCAACATAATTTTAACATATGAATTGGTTCTTACCGAAGAGCTATATGTACCTGCCTCTTTGGGCCAGGTACAGCTGCCCTCACTGAATGGCCCATCAACCCCTTATGGAAAAATTTCTCCCATTTGAGAGGAGCGGTCTGGTTTACTTACCTAAGATAGAAGTTGGTGATTCTCTCCCTTTAACCTACAGGTCCCTGTGGTCTGCTCACCAGCTCTTGAGTTCACTCACCTATAATTTTTTTTACCTTTGGGAAGGGACTCATATTTGCCACTTGCCTGTATATAGCCCTCCTGAACACTCAGGAATAAGACAATTACAACCAACCACCTGCCTTCCCATCCCTCCAGAAATTTACTGCCCTCCCTCTTTATTTACTTTTGTATTTTGAAGGGGATGACTGTGGCTATTTCCAGAGAAATAGTAATGAAACTGGCAAATTATCAAAGAGGATAAAAACTTGGGAAATATTTTCCCGTGTGGTTCCTCACCCCCTTACCCCAAGAGTGGATTTCACCACATTCAACAAACTTCCCATGCCAAACATCCCAGTTTTGCTGCTAAGGTTTCATGAATATAGAAACATTTGGTGCAGATCTCGCTATGTTCTGCTGGAGGAAGATTGCAAGACATTAAAAGCATGAGGTTATAAATGGGCAAGACTTTAGCTAGGCTAGAAGGTCTGTGCTCAAAAACCTGAAAGCAGTGCAACTTTAAATGAATGTTCACTTGGAATGGGCTGAAGACCTTAGAAATGAGCTACAATTCTGGCCATGCCAGTTGAAGGTCACTAAGATAGTTGAAATCAGCATTGCTGTAACAAGGTCTGGATTACTGGTTCTTTCTCAATAGCGCAAAACATCATCTTGGGTGTCTTTGAGTGGGTAACAGTATTCCGAGCCCACGTGTTACAATATGGTTGTGACATTAACAAGGTGAACAGAATCAAGGCCAGAAGGGACCACCAGATTCTCTAGTTTGACCTCCTGCACATCACAGGCCACTAAACTCCACCCAGTTACCCCTGTATATGAAATATGCCAAGAAATGAATTTACCTTGAACCAGGTCTTTTATTTATAATGATCCAAGACAAAATGAAAAGGGGAGACAGTAAAGGGAAATGTGTGCTCTTATTGCCGTTTGTTCTCCCATTTTTGGGAGTTACCTATATGCATCAAGGAATAAAATCCATTCCTGTTAATCATTAAGGGACTATATTTATTTAGATGAGATTTGTAAGAGCATTAATAATTTCACAATCGAAGGTGCTTCCCATGTGAATTTCTTAAGAAGTGGGCTGCCGCATTCTGCCCTAGCTTTAGTTTTTGAGCGGTCTTAATGAGGAGCGTCATGCACAGCACATTATGGTAATCTAATGTTCCAGACATTAAACTGAGTGGAGTCATGTACTTGCAGTTTACCCCAATTATGAATAAGAGAGCGTTGTGCGCCTCCTGTTTACCAAAGCTTTGGGGGCCTTGGTCTCACTTGGAAGAGTTATGTTCCCAATGGGTTACATTCCCAATGAGTTGGATCCCCTTCTATACAGGCACCTTCCGTGTCTCCAAGAAGGATCCTGGTTAGTTGAATGGGATGATTAGACTATTTAAACACTAGTTGATTGTCAAAGACTTGTTTCTTGATAACGTGATAATTCAGTCATCTATAACACTACTACCATGATCTTAATGAATGAATTTTATTCTATGAAATATAAATTAATTGCAGGGCTTAAGTGTAATTTGGACCTCTTAGGTGTAATTGCTTGGATTCTTAGCAGGTTCCCAGTATTATTATTTATTTGTTTGTTTACTTGTATTGTGGTAGCACATAGAAGCCCCAGTCATGGCCCAAGGCCCCATTGTGGTAAACACTGTACAAACAGAGAACAAAAAAAAGGCAGCCCTTGCTCCAAAGAAAGTATATACTTTGTTGTCCAGACAGCAGCAATTAGCTGTTTCCATGAGCCATTTATAGTAAATTGGAGGGGTGAGCCTTATAGTTAACTAGCAGAAAAAGTATAGTTTCCTTTTCAAAAACGGTTTTGCACTGAATGCCGAAAGGGATGTTATGAAGAAGGTTATGTTGCCTATGAAACCCCCTTTCCACTCCAAACCTTCATACCATTTAAGAATGTATAAAGCAGATTAGGTCTGGGTTTAAGAATCTACTGGCAGCACCAGAATTGAACGCAAAATAGAAATGAATTATTTATTAACTCTAATTTCTTTCTTTCAGGACATGTGCACATCACAGATTTCAACATTGCCACAATACTGGCTAAAGGGATGCAGGTTACCACTATTGCTGGCACAAAGCCATATATGGGTAAGAATTCATAAAGATCTAGGCTACTTAAATGGCCATTCTTTGTTTAATACCTTCCCTTAATTCAAGGGATATATGAGGATAGAAGTGAAATCCTTTCAGGAAGTTTTAACTCTTTCCACTCCTGCCAGATAGGAATGCTATGGTTTTAAGTGAGACAAGCCACAGATGGAAAAAAGAAGATTCTTTTTGCCAGGAATTTTGTCTCCTATCTGTGAAATATTTTCTCATACTGATTTAGAATTGGGACCCATGCAGTGATTAACTAACAAAAAAGGTGGGGAGCCAGGAAAGATTTAATGGAGGCACTAATTTCAGTTACAATATTGTCATGCTACAAAGCGTTGTTCAAATTTATTGTGCTCATGTCACATAAGTGTTAAATAAAATGTTTCTTTTTTGAGGCTCTAAGCATTTTACAAATTTTAGTTAAGCTTCATATCATCTCTATGAGGTAGGTACTATATTATCCTCATTTCATAGATGGATAAACTGAGAGCTGTAATAGGCTGTCTGTTACACCAGTGTAATGACTCAATCCTGCAGAGGGCTGAACATCACCTGTGAGTTGAGAATGGACTGAGTACTTTGCAGAAGTTGCTCAGAGGCACCTCTCATGATTAAGGTCTCCGTCTGAACTAACTACACTGAAGTCCATAGTGTTACTCTAGATTTAGACCAGCTGTAATGGCAAGCAGAATTTGGCGTGTAGAATTTGCATGAGCTGCATAGATGAAATAGCGTGCCAGGAGAAAGAATACAGGGTCTCACATTGTAAGTTACATTGGGATATCAACCCATGGAAGGAAAGGATGAATCAGGCTCCAGGAGTCCTAGTTACTAACCCAGTGCTTTACCACTAGTCCAATATCCTCTGTTTAATATTGCAGTCCTTTGCAAATATAAAATTAAAAGGACAGAGGAAAGCCAGTGTGGCTGCACAGTGGTATATAGGCATTAAGATAAAAAATGCACTACACTTATATACTGGGAGCATTAGATAGATGCAAACATCACAGCCACAACAGGCAGGAAAGTAATGAGAACGGTTTTCAATCTCATTTTGAAGATGCCTTTTAAAATTATTTACCCTGTTGATATGAATGGATTTGTGCCCATCTGTACCAAACAATCAGCCCAGCTGCAGTCTAAAAACTGAGGTGCACAAGGGAAAAAAGCTTGAAAATAAGCCGGAGGGAAATAAGGGCCGGCAGGATGAGTCAGTTCCCTAGTGCATGGCACATTTGTGCACTGACCTTCTGCACTTCCATGTGTTAAGTGTTACGCTCTTGCTAGGAAAATGTGATGCGAATCTTTGGGTTCCCATTGTGCTGGTAGCAGGGTCAGTTGCCATGGTGACAAAGGGAGTAGGGACACCATTTTTTTTCTTCTGTCCTTGGTTAGGAGAAAGAACAAACGTACACAAATATTGTATTATGTGCTCTCTATAGGGCAAAGGCACCAATTTGGTCCCAAGCTAAGTAAAATAGCAGGGCTACTGTGTGTATGAGTGAGGAATGTTGCTGTTGAGTGGTGGCGCCACAAAGTAAAGCAGTGGTTCTCAGCCAGGGCTCCAGGGCCTTCTGGGGCCTACAAGCAGGTTTCAGGGGGTCCGTCAAGCAGGGCTAGCATCACACTCATTCAGGCCCAAGGCAGAAGGCTGAAGCCCCACTGCATGGGGCTGAAGCCCAAAGCCCTGAGCCCCACCACCTGGGGCTGAAGCCGAAGCCCGAGCAGCTTAGCTTCACGGGTCTCCCTGTGGCATAGGGTCCCAAGCAGTTGCCCTGTTTGCTACCCCTCCAATGCCAACCCTGGCTTTTATATGCAGAAAGTCAGTTGTTGAGATCCATGGAGGTTTTATAGCTTGCTGGAGTGGGGGGGTGGGCCTCAGAAAGAAAAAGTTTGAGAACCCCGAAGTAGATAACAGACTTTCTGCTGCTATTACCACCAACTATAGGAGCTACTTTAGATCAAGCAGAAGTGCCCTCAGTTTTTGAAATTGAAGGAGCAGGGTTCTAGTCCTGGTTCCCTGGATACATGTGACATTGCTACAATAATGGTATCAACAACATATGGTTTTACTACATTGGAGGCACACACTAGAATCAGTTTGTTTAATCTTTTAAGTCACTAAGTATTAAAAAAAAAAAAAAAGGAGTACTTGTGGCACCTTAGAGACTAACCAATTTATTTGAGCATGAGCTTTCGTGAGCTACAGCTCACTTCATCGGATGCATACTGTGGAAACTGCAGAAGACATTATATACACACAGAGACCATGAAACAATACCTCCTCCCACCCCACTGTCCTGCTGGTAATAGCTTATCTAAAGTGATCATCAAGTTGGGCCATTTCCAGCACAAATCCAGGTTTTCTCACCCTCCGCCCCCCCCCCACACACACACACACAAACTCACTCTCCTGCTGGTAATAGCCCATCCAAAGTGACCACTCTCCCTTCTCCCTAGGGAGAGTGGTCGCTTTGGATGAGCTATTACCAGCAGGAGAGTGAGTTTGTGTGTGTGGTTTTTGGATGGGGGTAGGGGGGTGAGAACCTGGATTTGTGCTGGAAATGGCCCACCTTGATTATCATACACATTTTAAAGAGAGTGGTCACTTTGGATGGGCTATTACCAGCAGGAGAGAGAGTTTGTGTGTGTGTGTGGGGGGGGGGGGGGGCGGAGGGTGAGAGAACCTGGAAATGGCCCAACTTGATGATCACTTTAGATAAGCTATTGCGAGCAGGAGAGTGGGGTGGAAGGAGGTATTGTTTCATGGTCTCTGTGTATATAATGTCTTTTGCAGTTTCCACAGTATGCATCCGATGAAGTCAGCTGTAGCTCACGAAAGCTCATGCTCAAATAAATTGGTTAGTCTCTAAGGTGCCACAAGTCCTCCTTTTCTTTTTGCGAAGACAGACTAACACGGCTGCTGCTCTGAAACCTAAGTATTTAAAATGCAGCATGCAGGGCTGGAGGTGGGTATTCCCCCTCACTGATGGGATTCAGTTTCATGTCTGGATATTGCTAAACAATCACTGCCACAGATGCTGTTTCGTTCTTCCTCCTAATGCTCTTCAGAACAAACTTTTATGGTCTTTGGAATGTACCATATCACACCAGTAGCAAATGGAGAAAAATGTGTAATGTTCTATGTGGAATGACATTCCAGCTGTCACTAAAAAGGCTGCATCTATAACCTCCCTCCAAATCTCCTCCATCTACCCACCCACCCAAGTTTGTGTGTTTGGAGCAAAAATACCCAGTCTGTTTTTCAGACAGAGCTTGCCTACTATTCTTGCTGCTAGAGAAGTTTCATCTATTGATTTTCCCCTGCCACTAATGCAGAAAATTCTTACTTATGCCCCTTTCGTTGCCAAACGAGCAAAATACCTGGTTATTCAGAGACAAGAGGAGCCTGGTTTTGACCTCACTTTTACGTAGGGTTGCCAACATTGTATTTCAAAAATAAGGAACTGTTTTCTTAGCACCCCTGCCCCAACTCTCCTCCCAATATTATCATCATCAATAAATAATAATAATACTAAGCAGTACTCACCTACATTCACCAGAGGTATTGCTTGCTGCTTTTTGCGGCGCTCAGCAATACCCAATCTTGTTTTACAGAGATGAAAAATAAGGGACATCCCTTGTAATAAGGGACTGTTGGGAATCCTCTTTGTATGGGTGAGGTCAGAGGGGTTACACTAGGGTAACCCCAGTGTAAGTAAGAGGAGAGTCTGACCAACAGTGCACAGCAAATGGCTGACAAAAGAAGGTGCTAGAACTAGGGCTGTTAGAACTGAGAGGTTATTTAAAGTTAAGAAGTGTCCATCTGTAAAATAGGCTATAAATCTAACCAACCGTAACAGTCATGAAAGCATTTCACTGCAGATAGCACAAGGACCCTCACCTCACACAGCAGGGATGGTCTGTACAGGAAAGTTAAAGCATTATCTAAGGTTTTCCCCTTACTGCTGCCATCTCATCATAATTATTCCTTCCCTCCATGGAAGGCTCCTTTTATTGGCATAACAGAGCTGACCTTTCACCCTTCAGATCACCTGACTCAACCCTGTAGTATAAAAAGAAACATACAAACAAATGCCCCCCACCCCTGCCAGATTTGCCCCTCTGTTTTGTTTTATTCCTTTGACAATGATCCTCACCCTCCACCCCTAAAAATCACTGCTTTTCCTTCATCTTTCACATGGAGCTAAGAAGGTCAGGTCATCTTCTGACCCTACCCTATTTCCTGTCAGGCTGGCAGCTTTCAACTATAAAAGCAAGGGCTGTTGGGCCCACACCCAGCTAGAAGTCACTCCCTGCTTTCCAGAAATATAGCTAGTATAAGGTCCATGTTTGTAAGTTCAAAATGCCGTGTTCACAATTTACCCTCTTCAGTTCTGCTAGACAGAAAGTGTTTTTGGCTTCAGATAAAGGAAGGAGGATATGAAGGAGGAAATTAGCTGACCTCTCAAATAAAAAAGCTTTAACTTGAGAGTGAGGACATTTCCTGCAGGATATTAGCTTTGGACTTGATAGAGCAGGGTTCAGTTCCCTGCTCTGACACAGACTTGCTTGGGGAAGACACAGAGCCTCTTTATGCCTCAGTTCCGCATATGTGAAATGGGGATAATAGCACTGCCCTGCCTCACAGGGGCTTGGCGTGTTGGGAGGACAAATATATTAAAGATTGTGACGTGATCAAATATTATGGTGATAGAGGCTATATAAGAACCTAAGATAGATTGAATTCCCAACCCCTAGTCAGTTATGTAATACTAGAAAACTAGTTTACCCAATGAGTGGCATAATTCTTAGGAGACATACAAACACTTTGTAACACCAAATTAATTAAATTATTTATCTATTATACATTGAGTGTTTAAATAATACTTCAATTTCTCCATCCAAGGCTCTCAAAACTCTTACATCCATTAATGGATTAAATCTCACAACACCCCTTTAGGGTAAGAAAATAGTAATAGTCCTATTTCCCACATGGGGGAAACTGAGGCAGAGAGGAGTTAAAAGTCTTGTCTCGGATCACAGAGCAAGTCAGTGACCGAGTATACTTCACACTGATTATACTGTCCATATCATAAGACTGCAAAGTCCAAATATCAATCTGTGTTCAATTCTCAGTGCAGACATATATGAAAAGTTGGGTCAAACTTTTAAATGAGTCAGATGCTGGTTCCACACCAAAGTGCAGTAATTTCCTAATGGATGGGAATTGGCCTCAAGTAACCATCACACTGAAACTACAAATAGTAGCACATTATATAGAACTTGTCATGTAATGACCCCAAAGCATTGTATAAACATCAGCATTTAACTTCACTTCCCACCTTGATTTTTGAAGTAGCTGAATATTACTAAAAAGAAAAGGAGTACTTGTGGCACCTTAGAGACTAACCAATTTATTTGAGCATAAGCTTTCATCTGATGAAGTGAGCTGTAGCTCACGAAAGCTTATGCTCAAATAAATTGGTTAGTCTCTAAGGTGCCACAAGTACTCCTTTTCTTTTTGCGAATACAGACTAACACGGCTGCTACTCTGAAACCTAAATATTACTGTAGATTATGAAACTGAGGCCAAGAGGTTAAGTGACTTCCCCAAGGTTAATAAGCATAGCAATGGCAGAGCTGGGAAAAGAACAGTATGTAGGTGATGGGAATCCCAACCAGCCTGTTACTGTCATCGCTTGATAAAAACCCAAAAATAATCAAGTGAAAGACTGGGCAAAGGGGAACAAATTAAATATATGGTAACTAGAACAGTCTGGAATGCTTTTCACACCTTAGGACTGAAACATAATATACTGCTGAAAATAGTCAATGATTACTGTTTGAGACTCTGAAATAAAGCAAACAAAATTTTTCTGTATTTTTCAGCACCTGAGATGTTTAACTCAACAAAATCTACTGGCTATTCCTTTGCTGTTGACTGGTGGTCTTTAGGAATTACTGCCTATGAGCTGCTTAGAGGCCGGGTATTGTATATACAGCTGCATTCATTATTTGTTTGGGGTAGTTTTTTTTTTTTTTTTTTTTACTCTTTACTGTTTTCAATACTGTATTGAAATAAGTGCTTTTTAACAGCGATGAAAAAAAGACGAGTAGGAATCTGGACTTTAAAATCTATTATAAAACGGGCAGCAGAAATCAAATCTCCATCAAGATTCTTATGATGGTCTCATAAGAATTCAAAAAGAAACCACTGCAGTGCAGAATAACTCAGGGTGACAGGTTCTTGGAGTGTCCAAAGCTCTGTCAGTTAACATAAGTTAGGCAGTAAAAACTGAGCCATCTAACTGATGGCTAAGAATTCCAAAAGCAGGGACTGTAATAGAATTTAATCTGAGCTCAGAACACGCAAGAAAAAAAAATTAAATCGTTTTACTATTGCATTAAGGCTCTGCAGTCTGAGAAAACATGAACCACTGTGTGTGAATTATTAATACAACACTATTCATGCCCTGTCATGCCTCAGTCTTTGGCTGTAACTTACTTGCAAAATTTGGTGCATCTTGGATAAGTCCTTTTAAACAATTTTGTAAAAATAGGTGAGCAAAATGGAAAGTTGCTTAGCATGAAATAAACGGTATTTTCCAAGCAAAAAGATTACATAACAATTTGTGAAATTAAAAAAATACTCTTCAAATACTATTTACGTTTCCAGGATATAGAACTTTTTATCTTTTAAGGAGCTGTGTGGGCAGAATGTATTTTAATTTATATCTATATATAAGCTGGTCTAAATTTTAAAGTGAATTTTGGGTGGCTCAAGTTTCGGGGTCCAACTTGGACAGGTTAAAAGGATATGGTTCTCAGATGTGAAGTGCACCCTTCCTGCAGCCGAGCACTCAAAACCAAAATCTCTAAACACTTTTGAAAATGTAAATAATAAATACTTACTTTATAATTAGAAAATAAAATGGATTGCAACACTGTTGCACTTACTATTTCAAGGCTTTTGACTTTGTGTTATTTCCAAATCTAGTGTAGAAAATACTGCAGTATTTCAAATATCATATCACAGCAAATTGATGATATTAGTGGTGACCACAGTATAATGTGACAAACTTTTAGAGGAAGACTTGAGTTCCCCTGCATTGTTTGCAAATATTCAGTGTAATGCATCCGTTTCCATATATTAATTTGTATCTGCTCGCATATATTTTTAAAATGAACACTTATTGTCAAAATATTTTAATAAAAATCTGGGAATTAAAAACAACTTCAAAAACAAAATTATACAGCAATCCTTCCCTTGTATACACAAACATCTCGTATTAATTTCAAGTTAAATGTTGAGATGCATGCAGTTGGACGTACCAGTCAGATATGCAGTTGGTCATCTACATGCATCGTTACTGTGATTGTTTTTTGCCTGCTTGGTTGCACATTTTATTCTGGAAAAATTTAGACTTGGTACACTCCAAATGCAGTGATCTGTCAAGGATGTTAAGAGGGGCAACGTCCTCTCCATCTTGCATCTGTATCCTAAAGTTCTCTGGCCAGAATTCAGGCTGGCATCTAAAATGAAAGTGAAGGGTTCATTTATTCCTACCTCTAGGACATTCTTCATACATAAATGAACAGCCCTTCTGCACCCTGAGCCGTACCTATGAAACTCTGTTCAACTACCTCTGCTGTGAGGTGTTATTTTTCATATTGTTCTTTTTTCCCTTTGCCTATGTTGTTATCTTTCCAAAGGAAAGAAGAAGCAGAGAGAAAAACCACTAGCCTCTACTTTGTCAATATCATCTCAAACTTGAGAAACGAACAGAAAATATCATTTACATTTAACAGAGAATGTTGAGAAAGTACTGGCCTTTGCAGTACCACTAAATTAATTTCACTTTAATGGCCTTTTTAAGTACAAATACTGGCTTTGCCAATGGAATACCAGCTGGGTGACAGCTCTACCCTTTGCTTTTCCCTCCTATTCATCTTGCCGTTTAAATGTTTCATTATTATTACTTGTCATTATTCAGTCCTGTAGTAATCTATTTACTTCAATTGAGTTAGCCTCTGCAGTGACTGACTTTCAGTGGTTCAATCTAGAGCAGCAATGGGGGGGCTTGGAGAATGGCACAAAGAGACTCTGTTTGGAGACTTCTTGCCCTAGGAAGATTTCCAAAAGACTTTTTTTTTTTTAAATGAAATGGTTTCCTTGTGTTTTTCACAGAGGCCCTATCACATTCGCTCCAACACATCGACAAACGAAATTGCTCACGTGTTCAGGACAGCTACTGTAATGTATCCTGCTGCTTGGTCTAAAGAAATGATGTCGCTACTCAAAAAGGTGAGGGCAGGTGGAGAAATGGGATAACTCAGGGGAATGGATATATTCGCATCTAAGAGTGCATTGTACTCACTGGCCTTTGGATTGCTCCTTAGGCGTCCAGTGAAAATCCTGTCCAGGTCAGGTCCAGTGTTAGTGACCTTCTTATGGCTCTTGGTGCGCTCTTTAAAATGACTAAAGGTATCCACACCGATGTAATCACTAGCTGGAAGCCTTACTGACAGTGTCACGTCCAGGTCAGGCCCAGTAACAGGGAAGCTTGCATTGGTGTTGCCCCTGTTCTCAGGATATATGCAGGATCAGCGTCCTTCAGACTGGCCCAGTAGCCTTCTTTGTCCCTCTGAAATCATCGTTGGGAATTAGAGAGAGATAAATAGAGATGGTCAAAATTTTTCATACAAAACTTTCTATTTTGTTGAAAAAAACATTTTTTCCAAAATGCAAACTTTTCACAAAAAATGCTGATATTCTCACATTGTTCCATTTCCCATATCATTTTCTGAAACCGTTTTTCCTCGATACTTTCACTGACGTTTTTATCAACGTTGTTTTCAGAATTGTTATAAATACTGTTTGTTAACCTGAACCCATGATTTCTTACTGAAGGCAGGTTTTCAGGAAGCAAAACATTTGATAAGGATTTCAGAAACAATTTGAATAACAGTCTTAGCGGAAGATATCATGAAAAAGGGTAACTAGTCCATTTTGAACCCTGCTAAATGGGAACGTCAACATTTTGAAATTTTGTGAGAAATATTTTTGGGGGTATTTTTTTTCAGACTAGCCCTACATCTGAATAGTAAAAGAATCCCTAGCATTTAGGACAATTTTTCTTCCTAAAGACTCTGAGTACAGTTATCCCCACCACTGAAAAAGACATGGGCTAGGCTACAGACATGGGAACAATTCTTCATTGGTAATGCAGCACAGCAGTGTTTTTAGGAGGAAGATTGAAAAATACCCATTTAATTAATATTAAATGGGGGAATTTAAGAAAGAGGAATAGTTAATACTTGAGCTAGAGTTTAACCAGGCCAAATAGCGACACAGGGATCTTCATGCAGACATCCTTTGTATTTCTATATATTTTTACCTTTGCTAGAAGTTTTATCCTGAACCACAACATGCTGTAAATCCCACGGGCTTGAATTAATAATGCAATGTCACAATTTATTTAAGTTTCTGTGTGCCCCTTTGCATCTGGTTTAGCAGCAATATTTATTATATATGAGGCCAACTGGGATGTTAAGTTTTGTCCCGTTCAAATATCTCAAGTGAATTTCATATTAAGGTTCAATGCGTTTGATCATTGGTAACAGAGCCACATTACTTACATTTTGTGTTTAAGCACAGTACTTGGAATGGGGAAAATGAACTGAGTGATGTTTACACTCAGCCTGCATATCATTCACACGCTGACAGTATAGATTTTGCGCCTCCACTTAATATCATTCACACTCTGGTTGCAAGCACTAACACTAAAATGGTGTTTCAAGTTGTCAGCGTATTCATTACATTTGAGGAAGTGTTTTTCTGGGGTTATTTTAGAATGTGCTACTAGAAGTTCTTGCAATCTTGAACCACAGAACTTGAAAGACAGAATTCAATCGCTAATTTGTATTATAGCTAATATGAAAAATCCCCACTGGATTCATTGAAAAACATGAAGACAAGTAGGACCACTGCCATGGTTTTAGACTCATAGATGTTAGAAAGGGAGGATGGTCCAGCAGGTAGGGAATTAACCTGGAAATTGAGAGACCTGAATTCAGTTTTCTGCTCCATCACAAATGACTTTAGGCGAGTCATTTAATCTCTCTGTGCCTCAGTTCCCCATCTCTAACGTGGGGGTAATGGCCCTTGCCTACCTCCCAGGGGTGTGTTGTGAGGATAAAGCCACTGACAGTTGTGCGGTGCCCAGATACAATAGTAATAGGAAGCATCAGCATTCCTCAGTTAAATAAATATTAAAACAGCCAGTTGTTTCCTAACAATATAGAGCACTATCCATTGTGACATTCACTGGTGTCCTTGGAAGACTATGATACAGCCTAATAGAGCTCACAATTAAAAACTTCTTAATATCCATACCTTGCATTTTTTTTTTGCATCCCATTTCTCTTAATTATACCCCTTTATTAACACTTTAGCCAGTCCCTCTGCCTCCCTCATGTTAACTGAGTTTTCTGTGCTGTGATTAGATATGTCTTCTTTGGAAAGATGCCTTTTTAATCTGCAGTTTCCAATTTCACTGTTGTGTTGGAGACAGGAGACTAAAATGCCAAATACATATACATTTTCAGTAGAGTTTGGTGGGGAAGTGGAGTGAGGAAATCAGATCCAAATACTGAGAAAGTGAAGATGAAGCTGGCCCCGCTGGGATTTTATTTAAATTGGAGAGAGGGGGGAAGAAACACTGTAGAACGTGTTCCATTTTTCTTAGTCTCCCTGTGAAAGAAAAGAACCTGTTAAAACAGACCATTTTGGATGACTTGTTCACACTCAAGGACATCTGGTGACATCTCAGTGGATGCACTGCTTAACTTGCTAATAAGAAAGAACTCAGTGAGTCGTTACTAAAGGAAAATCTTCAGATGTAGCCAAGTAAGCAGCCCAGTTGAAAAATCATTAGCAATGAGATTACTTTGGCTCTGATGCCGGAGTTTGTGTGTTGCACCCTGGACTGAGTGATATGTGGGACCAGAGATCTCTGTGCTCTGAGCTTCAGGCCGGCACAGATTAAACCACTTGGCTTCTGACCAAGATTAAAAAAAGACCCTGCACTAATGTGTACTGACCTGTAATGCCAGGTTGCTAACACAACCCTCTGGAGTGGTGCTGGTGACTCTCCCTGCTTGTACAGGAGGGTGGACGCCTGGAGCCATAGTCGGGCTGTTTAACTCCTGCAATATACTCTCAATGGGAGGGTTAAGGTTAACTCCACCCATCCAGGCACTGCAGTCAGTTACAACTGCCCGAAAGCTAATGGAGAATGGAATCTTAACTAAGAAGAGGGGGGAGAAAGTGGACAGATATAGACAAGGGGCTACATTGTGCCAGTAGGCACCACTCTTAAGAGACGGTGGTACATAAACTGCCAAATCAAGAGTAACCCTCTTTGAGGCACCACTCCCTCCCTGCTTCCCTTGTGCTCTGGGAATGGAGGAAATTTGCCATTGGCCTACAGCATAACAAATTACATCACCACCCATACCAACTCACCTCTGCTGGCTGCTGTGTCGGGGAGCAGGAGAAGAAAGACTGCCCATTGCCCTCTCTCCCTACCCACTTTATTGTGTGGTCTATAGTCAATAACAATGTAGCCTAAATTCTGTCCTCTTCCTACGCACTGATAGATAGCAAATAACATTGATATTCCTGGTATAATTATAGGCTTCAGGGTGTGCGTGTGTGTATATATTCCTATATAAACACAGATTGTTGCTCTTCAGAACTTTTCAATTTCCTTTGTAACTACATAGCATTACTACTGTAGTATTGGAAGCATTCCCTAGGTATAAAGAGAATAGGGTGAATATCATGGGATCGGTATCAAGTTATCAAAGGCAAAATTGGTACATTTTAAAAAGGCAACTGGTGTACATATAGACAGATATAGATTCACAACTGTGTGATATATATATATATATACCCTTTTTCTCCTGATTGTCTTCCCGTGGCCTGGCGTCTAAACTGTTGTGTTTAATTCCCATTGCCAGTTGCTTGAGCCAAATCCCGAGGCACGGTTTTCTCAGTTGAAAGATATCCAGGACTTTCCGTATCTCGCTGATATTAACTGGGATGCAGTCCTACAGAAGAGGATAATGCCAGGATTCATTCCTACTGTAAGGCAATTTTTTAAAAAAACCCATCATTTAGAATGTCTACACGATCAGAGTACCCTCCTATACACTGCACCTGATTCTCCACTACTTTGCACTAGATCAGAAAAGTAATGTACTTTTGCACACACTTTGCACAGGTATATATTACTATACAAGGTGCAAGGCAAGGGAAAATCCAGGTGAGAATTTTCATTTTATGATTAAGACTATTAAAGGGATCATTACAAATGGTGGATGCTCACGATTTGTATTATTGTTAGTTTTGTAATGTTGTCATTAATTCTCTGTGTATTCAGAAGAAGTGCTCTAATGCACTTACAAGAACCTTTGTATTTTCAAAACTATGTGCAGAGAATTCAATGCTCGTAACCAACCCTATCATAACAAACTAGCGTGCCTAGCCACTGCGCTCATGAGCAATCCTGCAGTAGCAAACGGCTGTGAGCAACCGTGCTTGTGATCATTCTACAATTTAAAAAAAACGTCCACAGCCCAGAACTCTCAGATAACCCTATGTGTATAACTTGGTTCTTGCCAGCCACTTTAGAATAACTGCTTATCCTGACAAATGACCCTTAATAACAAACCAATGCATATATACCTAAGGGAGAAGATCATAATTATGGAAAGGAATACTCTAGATTTCTCCTTGAAGCATTCAAGGTTTCAGTATAAACAACAATGAATAAATGAGAAAGTGATTTTTAAAATGATGCAATGTACCTTGACAGTGTCCTTCTAACCGAGGGGAGTGATAAAATATGTAAAAGGTTCAGCAGGAGCTCTGGCTAGGTTATTGTTATTGGTTTATTCATTAGAGAGTTATTTCCCAGGTTCTTTCCTGTTTGTGAGAGCCTCTTCAATGCAGGGTCGATTCAGCTAAGGTGACCTTTCTCTCCCCTATAGAAAGGTAGACTGAATTGTGACCCAACCTTCGAACTTGAAGAAATGATCCTGGAGTCCAAACCTCTTCATAAGAAAAAGAAGCGCTTAGCTAAGAAGGAGAAAGACACCAACAAAAGCTATTCTTCACAGGTGAGAGAGAAAGAGAGGCAGGCTCCTAGAGTCCTGGAAATCTCTTTCTTTACACAAAAATCCACTAGATATTTCATATGGATGCAGCAAAATGCAAACATGTAAATAGTCTGATTGTTGCTGTTGGGATGGCTTTGTTCACAAAACCTCTCTGTACTAGTGACAGAGCGTACACCAGGGACAGCATGATATTGTAATATGAACATTAACTCATGCATTTCCTAAATTGCTATCTTAGTTATGTAATTTTTATGTTTTATAACATAAATTTTGCATTTAATTTCCTTTTTTAAAAGTCAGAGGTGGGTGGGGGGGAAGGAATTGCCCATGGTGGCTAATGTTGGGATTTAAACAGTCCCAGATGGCTTTTAATTTCAGGGAATGGAGTACGGGAAGGACTAGTTTCTGACTTTGCTGTTGATAATGTTTTGCTGGAGATAATTTACTGCAAGATTGGGTCAGAGTGGTAGGAAATGGTGCCGCTCCAGTTTCTCACACCTGGGCACAAGTCACGAAGGTGTTTTGCAAGCTTCTCCCAAGCAGTGCTTCCAAGGTACCAGCAAACTCTTATGACTCCCCCAGTATTCCAGACCTTGGCCTCTCTGCAGCCAACCTGGCTAATCATGCTCCATTATGCTAAGCTTGCAGCAGGATTTGCAATGTGGGCAGATCTTCATTATGGGCTAGAATCAGACCATCCACAACCTCATTTTCAGTTGTGATCAAACTAAACCAGGCGTTGAATCTAGGTCTCAGGAAGTGGAAAGCCAGTTTTTAAGGCACACAATGCACCACCCAGTTTATTTGTAAAATGCTGAAGGCCAATTTGGGGTAGGAGCCTGTCCTCCCTTTCAAAGTTCAGTCATCTAAAAGGTGAAGTGTTTCCAAGGCCATGTTTAGACTAGGAAAATCAGTTGTGTTTAAAACATGTTGGCAGGTCATGATAACATTAGGAGGGAGCCTAACGAAGTCCTAGAGTGAAATCCTGCCCCACTGAAGTCAATGTCAAAACTTCATTGACTTCTGTGTGGCCGGAATTTCTCCCCTGCATTGATGCCATAGGGCTTTGTTAATACTGAAGTCTCCCTCATCCCTCTTCTATGATAAAGATCCTCTAATTAAATAGAATTGGATTCTTTAAAAATTAAGTTATTTTGAAGGTCAGCTGAATCTCTGAGCATCTTAAATATTTTATCATGGCCTGGGATACGAGTTCTTTCATTTACAAAACTGATCCTTTTTAATACTCTTCATCAGTGGAAGCAAAAGCAGCCTGATCCCCACCCCTTCCCAATCAGCTGTGCAGAATGAATGTTGCCAGCAGGTTGAGTGCCGCCAAGAGGCAGCAGAAGCCTGTAGAATGTGTTGGGTTTTGTGAAAGCACTAGGAATTTGGAAAGTTTATTCCAAAAAACATGTTTTTTAAGTAAAATTTCTCAAGAAACAAAATAAAACAGTGTTTTCTAAGGAGGTTTGACTGACAACCCATGGCATTAAACATCAATGGTCTCCCTAGATGTGATATTGGGTCATGCTTTGGTCTTAACTGCACCCTTCCCCTCTCTTTTCGGCACCCATCTCTTTCTATGCTGTTAGGACTCTTTGTGTGCTTCTCCTCTCTGTCTGCATATTACCTCCCTGCTATAAAAGGCCTTTCTTTCCTCCCTCCAGCCCCACTACCTGTTTCCTCCTTTTAAAGGTTCAGGTTCCCCTGCACACACTTTCCCTTGCTGTAGGCCTCATTCTTTTAGTACCTTGAAAGGTAGGAGGTGTGAGGTGGAAGGGTCTGCAGCGATCATCTTTTTGGCTCCCATTCCTTTTTGTTGGGAGGACTCTTTGAGATCAGAGGTTGAGGAGGAATGTACTGTCTGGGCAGTTCTCTCAGAAGCATCTTTAAATAAATTTAGTTTATAGTAGTTCAAAACCTTGTGTGTGAGGTCAACGTTACAATATTCTCCGTGTAGACCAGGGGTGAAAGTAAAATTGAACTCTTACTGGTATGGGGTCAGCTCTGTGCCCCCCCTCCAAAGGGGCATGGCTTCAGATGGAAGGTGGGGACTGGGGGGGGTCAGTGTCCCCCAGCCAGGCAATCCGCACTGCTTGGCCTGCGCCTCCCAAGGCTTCAGCGGTGATTGAAAGGGTCCGGAGCCCCAGGCCCCTTTTAATTGCCAGCCCCAGGGCAACTGCTCCTTTTGCGCCCCCCCACCCTCATCGGCAGCCAGGCGGAGAGGGGGGGCAAAAGGGGCAGTGACGTTAAAACGCTGCCGTGGCAGCCACTTCTTACCAGGACGCGGTACCGGCCTGTACCGCCTTACTTTCACCCCTGATGTAGACCATGGCTATAGGGTTTTATAGGACATTTTATGTCTGCTGTATTGATTTTCTTTGTGCATTTAGGTCAGGAGTTTACTCTCACTAGTTTTCATTCAGGGAGACCCTCAGGGTAAAGTTCGTTCTCAGCAGGCAGTCACAAAGCCAGAGATATCTCTACTGTTCAAATCACTGCCACTTTGTGTGTGTGTGAACGATGGCTCTGAGGACAGCAGCTGTACGAAGGAAGCAACAGCTGAGCATAATGCTCAGAGGAAATTAAAAGTGAAATACAAGGTTATGAATTCTTGGGGTCGCATTAAACCGGAGCCTGTGTCATACATAGCAAGGAGAGGTGCACTGTTGCTCACGGCTTTGGGGAGTACTATGCTGTGACAGCTAAATTGTGCTAGAGCTGTGTCTCTTTAAGGAATCCTGTCAGTGTCTGACTTGTACAAACGGTTTAAAGAAGGCATCTGTCACTTTTTTTCCTTTTACCATGCGCTGGTGACTGGAATGCAGGTGGTGTCTGGTAGCCCAGTGAAACGTCTCTGTGGTGAATGAAGCAGCCAAACTCAAGAGCTATCGGAACCGATCTTGCCAGTCAGAGTTAGGGCTTGTAAATAGAAAAGGAGGACTTGTGGCACCTTAGAGACTAACCAATTTATTTGAGCATAAGCTTTCGTGAGCTACAGCTCATGTTTTATTTGCCTTCAGGCAGGTTTTTTCCCCCCTTTGTTGTTTGTAGGCTGTGTGTATGGCTGCTGATACACATACTCCATTCTATCACTGTCTAACACTGATCCTGGCCTGAGGCTTGCCCACCTCTTCCATCAAGCTTCACTGAGCCCAAATGAGGCAGGCTCTCGACAGAGCTCTGTCACCTGGCCGCAGCATAAGGAAATCTGGCTTTCCATACTAATGCTTTGCCATCCATCCTACGTGCTAAAAGCACCTGACCAGCACTCTTGGGGAGTGGGTATCATTCTCCCCACTTTACAGCTGGGGAAACCACAACCCAGAGCTGGGAACAAAACAGTTTTGAGACAAGGCATGCACATAACTAACTGCATGAATCTATTTCCATTGCTCCTTTCCCCCCACCTACTGCTTGTAGCTCTCACATGTTGTGCCCTACCTACCCTTAAGCTGTAAGCTCTTCAGGGCAGGGAAAAGTGTGTCTTTGTATATTTTGTAAGGTGTGTAATGCCCTGTGATTAAATGGTCATCACAATAATGTGAACCCCCTAATTCTGTGCTTTAGACACAAGACTGCTCCTCCTTCAATCTCTCTTTATCTAATGAAAGAGGAGAGAGAAGAAGGTAGAGCTTTCTGTACATTTTCAGCTCGCTCCCACTCCGCAAATTCTCTCTTTCAGACAAGAGGTAAAACTGAGGCCTCAGTCGCTTATCGTTATGAAAGATACTAATGGCACATTTGGGACTATTGAGGAATATCAACCTGTCTGCCTTGGAGAAATTCTAGTTTGGGGATTTAACCTTTTGCTAACTTCAAATGCCTCCTGTAGAATCAACTGCTGAAATAGTTATTCCCAACTTCCTGCCCAAAGCAGTTGTGTGAACCGCATAAGCAAAACCAATCATGCACCTTATTTCCCTTCCCTAAAAGTGTGTGGGAGGTATTTCAGGAATGGATGGAGGGATCCCTCTATACATTCTGCAAGGCACTTTGGGTTCACCACAGCATTAACTGAAGCAATTTACACTTAACTTGCTTCTTTCATATTTGCCTAGCACGAGTGAGAAGAGCCAGCCTGCACAATAATTCTCTAGTTATAATTCCCTGCATCCACATTGGTGCTGCTCTCACTTGTGTGTGGTGCTAAGACTTCTGGGCTCACATCCCATGCTTTGTACAGCTACGGTAAACTGAACTCTTCTATGACTCCTTTCTCAAAATTGGAGACCTTCTGTGATGGAATAAGTGCTATTGAATATAATACGTTACCCTGATTCTTCATTCAAGCCATTCTTCAACCTGTAGGGGCAAACCCATTTATGCCTAATGGATGGGAACACCTCAGATACTGTCCTGTGTCAGTTGTGAACTCTAACTGTCCTCTCCTCTGCTTTTCCCTATTTCAACATGGAAGGGCTGCCGTCTTCAGAAGCACCTGGAGTCACTGCAAAGGGACTTCATTGTTTTCAACAGAGAAAAGTAAGTAGTGACATAGGAGAAGTGGACCACTCTGGCAGGTTTTTCAGTGTGTTAGTAAGACCTTTGACAGGACTAACTCTCCATCTGCTCAAACCGCTATAGGGTTCTATTATATTTTTAAAAAAACAGTTGAAATAGCAATGGAGAGAAGCAGATGTTAGTGAATGTTATTTAATCCAGGATCTGAAGGGGAACGGAGTGGCATTTTTACTCATGAGATAAAGGGTAAAGCCCACAGTACTGAAAACTGGAACCCATACTGCCTTAAATTCCAAATGAATTTGGATAAACTATTGTCAGAGATTGCATGGGATGTTCCCTGATGTTTTTAATGGAATTTATTCTGCATCTATGTATGCTGAATCATATAAACATCTCCAAATAGGGGACAAGGCTGAGGAGGCGATAACCAGTAAATCAATAAAAGAAAACCAAATACCCGGAAGTGTGCTTCAGCTTCATAAACCCCGGAGTGGGGACTGCCTCCCTGTTCTATGCATTAGCCATAGAACACAGCAGGACCAGTTCTGCCACATCTAACCAAATCTCTGCCATTACAAATAACCCCTCATCATCTGCTACAGAGCTGAATCTCGAGCCTAGTTAGTATATCTTAAATGAATGAGAAGTGAAGTTGGAATAAATTCCCTTGAAAAGCACTGAACATTAGATGAAATTAACATACCAATCCTATGATATTTCATGCAAATTCATATGGATTTAAGAGTACATGCCTGTAACACTTGCTCATGCAAGTAGAGCCCATGGAAATCAGAGTCTACTCCTGTAAGTAAGTATTGTTCATGTGAGCAGGGATTGCTGGAGTGGGCCCAAAGTTTGTAATGATCCCCCTGAAGTAGAGCCTCCTTTTGGGGGGATGAAAAGAGCACTCGCTCTGAACTGGCCAGACTCGGCCCACCCGGGACCAGGGGAGAGAATATGGTAGGTGTACTCAGAAAATGGGTGGGGAAGAGTGCTGATAAGGGTGTGCTCAAGACAAGGGCTCAGGAGGCATGGCTGTTGCACTGTGCTAGCAGAAATAATGTAGCTAGCCGAAATGCTGTAGCACTCTCTTAGAGGAGAAATGGGCTGAAATCAAGCTTGTGTGTGGGTTAAGAATTGACCGGAAAACACACACTGCGCTGGCAGTGAAACAGTCCTAGGCTGCTGCCTCATGCTGGCTTTCTCCCTGGGGTTTTCACTCTTCATTTCTTTTCTTTTTTTAAGGATGAGGAGACACCACAATGAAATCCAAGAGAATATAACACTGGCACAAACCAAAGACCCGGAAGAAGAAGACAACCAGAACAACAACCTTTGAGCTCACTTAGCCTCTGCCCTGGTGTGTTCCCCCAGGGTTCACTGCACACCTACACATGTTCACGGAGCTTGGTGAATAGAATTACCCACTGATAAAAGGACAATGCACATACCCCAGCACAGGGCGTCTAAGCCAGAAATGTGTGCACCTTTCTTTTCCTCCTTCCACCTTAAGTCAGGTGGATACAGGGGGCCAGGGAGAGGTCTTTAGTACTGCCCCTGCAAATAGCCTGCCAAAATAAACAAGAGTCAGATCCTCCTCCTCTGCCGGAGATGGTTACAGGAATTTGAGCACAAGAAGATGTGGTCTCTTTTTCAGAAGAGACCCTGAGTGCAGGAAGGAGGAGCTTATCCTTGTGGGGCAGGATGCCTGCTGGCACAACATTTAGGTATTGAGTGCCTAGTGTAAATCTGGGCGAGGGATCAGTTGATTGCCAGTGGGAAGCAACAGAAGGGTATTTAATGCATAATTAGGTCTGTCACATAGACTCAATATTAGAGATGAGCCGGCAGCAGAATCACAGACCCAAACTCTTTGGAAGTTTGGATTTTCACATGAGCCTCATAGCTTAGACTCATCTCTAATTGTTAGAGGCAGAAGGGGCTGCTCTCAACTGCCGGGCTTGTATTTAATCTGCAGCATACAGAAGACAGGACCTTTGCTTCCAGCAGGGTCTCTTTCTAATATTTCTTTAGTCTGTGGTAGGGAAATGATCTAGTTCCTCAATATGGGGAAAAGGCAATAATGGTTTCTTATGTTTCTGTTTTCTGTCTCTGATGAAATTCCCTAGCTTCCCTGACTTTATACTATTGGGCAGAGCTGGCTCAGCAATGGCTAAGAACATATGAACAATGGGGACTGGGACGGAGCCTACTAATTTGGGTCAGAAAAGGAAGAGGTAGCAGTTCTCTATTGCTGGATAACACGCTAGGGTGGATGCTTCACTAGCAGATAAAGTTCACCACTGGCATAAGCAGATGCAACTCCATTGAATCCAATGGGATTGTGGCCCCCTTTGGTCCCCTTACACCAGAGGTAAATTTGGTTATGCATCTTTAAGTGTGATAGAACATCAACTTTGTAGTCTCAATTTCCCTTTCGCTAAGGTGTTAGACGTGAACATTATGGACCAAATTCAACCCTGGTCTAAGCAGCCACAATACCCAATGGTAACTGCACCATTTTACACCAAGGCTGAAATTGGCCAAAGCACCTGGTTTATAGTCATGCTGTGATTGACACTATCTTTTTAAAGCATTAGGGCCCTGAGTTCTCACCTTCTTGTTTTGCTTGTCTTACTCTCACTGTGTGTTAACTGTCTCCATCTGCCCAAAGCCGTTCTTTGTATCCCCCTGCGACTTCCTTTCTCTCCCTGTCTGAATCTGGTCAAGTAGAGGTCTGAATAAAAACAAGATATGAGACTTCTTCCCAGACAATCAAAAGCCAGTGTAGTTTCTGAGGTCACTTGCATTGCAAGCCAAAGTGTGAGTTTCCACTGTTCTGAGCCAACTGGAAATCTCCTTGACTTTTATTTTAAATGTGCTTTTCCCCTTCGCGAAGCTGTTTTAAAAATCCTTCGGAGAACAGCATCTGCACACTGCAACCTGGAAGGAGGCTTTGGTTCCATTCTCTGATGCATTCAGAAAACTTAAGAAAAGAGCCATCCTTGCTTTACATATTTAGACCACCTCGGGCAGGATGGATGCCTTCTCACAGATGCAAATGATTTATTAGTATTATGAGTAAGCCATATTCTCTTGATTAAACAGTGGCTGTGTGGTTTGGTTTTGGAGGATGTAGTTTATCCTTACACATTAGCAAGCAGCTGCCTCAAGGAGTGCTCAGAATGGCCTGTCTCCAGACCCTGTGAGCATGCTTGAGGCTGAGTTGAGGTAGCTGTCATCAGAGTGAGCAAATAGAAAATAAAGCCCTTGTCTCAGTCCTGCTGACTAAATCACTCGCATTCCTTTGCATGGCGCCCCGGGTCTCAGCACCAGGAGTGGCTGGTCCACTATTCCTTTTTAAAAATTTTTTAGGTCTCTTGAAATAAAATAGTCCCAGGTAAATGGCAGTGATTCAGCTCTGCGGATCAGGAAAGGACTAGAAGCCAGTAACTCACTCAGGCTGCAGCATGGCTGTAGGAATAGACTACTTTGTCAGATACCTTTCAGCCACAGCTCTCCCATAGCAGCAACCAGGTGGGAGGCTGCTGAGCTCCAGGCAGCGTGATCAGTGTATGCAACATTAGAAGTAGCAGCAGTTACTGCACCAGTGCACAATCCCTTTCTGAAAAGCTTGGACCCCACCAGACCCAAACTCCAGATCTGAATGTCCCTGAACTGTGGGTGTGTTTGGAATCCGAATGCAGCGCTGTAGCCTACAATTAGTCCCCATCTTCATAACAGAGGAACTTTAGGGGGAGGAATGAATGATCTGAATGCTGAGGCTTGAGCACATCACTGCTTTTAGCAGACAGTCTCATAGCGGAAAGATCTAGTGAGAATGGCCCCATCCTCACAGTGGGGTGTTTTGAGTTTGCTTTATTTTCCCCTATTTCATAAATCTTCTATGCAGTAGCCATGGCCCTCTTTCCTTCACAAGAATAATCACCAAATGATTAAAAACAGGCAATGGTATGAACTGAAGTCAAATGAAGCTAGTAAGCAGCTTCCGCCCTCTCAAATGGTCACCCAATGCTCTCTCAAAAGTGGTAATTCTCCAGATTCCCTACCACCTTCCCCATGGAATCAGCTTCAACATTGATCCAATGAAAGCAGGATGAAAAAGACCCCCAGAAAACCTAGAACATGATGGCTGGATGGCATCAACAGACACCTGTCCCTCACAGGCATCCTATCCCATAACATGCTCAGACACAGCATTGGGTTTTCAATCAAGTCCTTACTTTGACCCAGTCTGGATTGATTGATGGAATTACAGGGGGATCAAGTGACCACCCACCCACCACATTCAACCACACTATCGATTAAAAAGTCCTGGCTCCCAGGCCCTTGTTCTGACCAATCTCAGTATTAGTACTTACCTTAAAGTGCTGTACAAGCATTAAGTAATGAATCCTTACAACACCCCATCACAGAGGTCCTGACACCCTTTTACAGATAAGCAGACAAACTATGACTTACAGCGGGCCTTTTGCTTACAGGAACTGGACACGGCTTCAGGAGCTCCAGATTCTATTCCTGGCTCTACCAAACTTCCAGTGTGACCTAGCCCAAACTGCTTCATATCTCAGTGGATCAGTTTGTCATCTGTAAAACAGGGATACACCTACCTCAGAGGGGTGTGGTGAGGCTAAAACGTGCTCTTTGCGGTGTACTCAGATACTATGCTAATAGGTGTCCATATAAGTACCTAGTTGAAATGCCACAGGAAGACTGTTGGAGAGCTACGACGAGTATACCTAGCTACTTGTTTTATGTAGCACCCTGGTATTTCAAGCCTTGCTACAGACTTTATTAGCAAACACAGGTCAGAGTTTGTGCTTACGCCCACCCCCAGTGTTTTGTCAAATCTGTTTTTTTGACAATGGGAGACTCCTAACAGAGAACGTTCTAAATGCCCCATAGACTAGCACTCTAAGTACTTTTGGACAGAACAAGCATGCATTGATTCAGCCCGCAGCTGCCAAAAGCCCCACGTAACCTGAGTGATAGGAATAAATGTCTCTTTCAACCCAGATGCCCACTTTTCATCCCTGACAGTGGGATCAGCTTGAGTTTTGGTTCTCACACAATTGGTTGCATTCATCTTTCATCTACAGGTGTTAGCCCCAACCAGAGCTAATACTATTACTGGTCACTGCTCTGGCACCAGAAAGGAGCTGCTTTGTTTTGCAATGGGCCACGCACATGGATGATGCTAAATAATTAAATCATAATCCCAGCGTTCCTGCTATCTCTGGTGGGGTTTTATTTGAGTAAATTAGTCTGCCATGAATGATTTCTGCCTTCAGCACACAGTATCAGCTGTCTAGGTATTTTTACCACCTGTATCACAGCAGTATTTGAGCATACCACATACCAACAAGAGCTTTCCCTCACCCACTGATTCCAACACATGAAGTGGAAGGAGTTTTTTCCCCATTGTAATGGATTATAAAGGAAGCCTTTGACCTGTGGGTGTGTTTAACATTTCATGGCAACTTTGCTCGTGACCATTCCAAGTTCCACAGTCAGTGGCCCGATCCCAAGAAAGCGTTGTCCCCCTCATATTAGTTCCATTGTTTCTGCTGAGGGCAGGTCATCCTTTCAGAGGTAAGGGAGGATCTAAGTTCCTCGGGCCCCACACCAGTGGACTTTGTCCAGGATCAGGAAGGAGTGTGAAGGGGAGTCAGCGTGGAGTCTGAAATACATGTTGTAGATAGAGTAGGTGGATTGCCGAGGTCTTTCAGCCTTTTAGAACTACAGCTTCTACCCTCATTCTAGATGAGGCTCCTGGATTTTGAACTGAGGGTTGGGATCCATCTTGCCCATCTACACAGTCTAATCAGCTAGCTGACTCCCACTCCTCAAACTGGCCTGCAAGATTTCTGTTGACCACTGAAAAGACCAGCAGAAGGATCTGCAGACGGCGACCCTGAGGCACTGTACACCGTGTGTGGACGTTAACAAAACCAGGCAGCTCTCACGAGCTGAAAAATCTAATTGCAGATTGAATTTAGTGTTGAAAGCTCACCCAACAAGTAATTTGATATAGCATCTAATTCAGTATAGGTGCAAGGGGCAGACAAGCACACGTTAAAGGTAAGTTGCCATTTCTTCAACCCTGTGGATGCTGGCACATTCACAACTATCAGCCAAATGAAGGATTAAGACAACTTTTATACATGGTCTCCAAAAAGGACAACTGTGTGAACAGCTGCAGCGCCTCAAGGTGGATGAGAGAGATCATTTCACTGAGTGATTTGTCCATCCCTCTGGGCCATCCACCTTTTCCTTTTCTTCCAGAAGAGCCCAGTTTCTATTAGTACTAAGGAAATCTCAATGATATTTTTCTCTACACATCCTAAAAAAACAACACTAAATTCAACAAAAAAAACTCCAAACAAACCCCTGAAGGTTTTACATTTTGACTCAACACCTGAGCCACTTCAATAACTACTGTCTCTTACATAGTGGGGAGCTGAAAGTTTTACTATGTTGCCAACTTTCTCAATATCTTTTTTTAAAGACCCAGCTGTTGAAATCATATGAATACACAACACTGTCAGTTTTCATTTAAAATTAAATACAATTTCTAGCCCTTAGAGCTGTGGAGGAAAGCTTGAAACCATAAAGCAGGTGCCACCTAATGGTTCAGAAACCATAAAACAAACAAGAACCAATTTAAAAAAAATTAAGTCAATCTCAATTTTGGGGGGCCTGGCTCATGATTTTGGAATGCTTATGGTTAGAAATACTGCATTGCTCTTAATTCTCCCTCAACTCTATAATTAAGATGACAGAGTTTATTATGAGAGAGGAATGGAAACTGGAACTTTCATTGCCCCAAACAGTAGCAGCTAAGTTTTCAAAGTGAGTCCTTGATTTTGAAATGTCTCACTTCTTGTTGCCCAGTGTGAATGATGGTAGCCAGGGCCTTCTTTTTAGAAGTGTTGTATATAACTCCCATTGATTCCAACTGGAGCCGTAGGGGCTCGTTTATCTGAAATATCAAGCCCACAATGTTTAAAGTTGAGCACCCAAAACCAAAGAACTCAAAGTCAGTGGTTATTTTTGAAAATTTGGGCCTAGAAATGTATCCAAGTTGAGTTGGTTCTTCTTTCTCCCGGCATTGGTAACTGCAGGGTTACCAAGTAGTGGGAGAGGTCTAACCTGCTGCTACTGACCCAGCTCTGCAGTGCGATGGTGGAGACAGGCTGGTAAACACCACAACATTTTAACTTAGTCCATTTTGAGTGTTTGCAACAGGTGTCAGCTTGGCAGCCCTGAAGGTAGAGATTGAAGTCCTCTGTTTATCCCTGGCTTGGGCAGTAGCAAGACAGGCTTCTCCCACATCTCACTGCCAAACCTGTTCTGGAGAGGCCATATCTAAACAAGACGGGATAGTTCAGTTTTCAAATCCATTTGGTTCCTGGCCTCTCTGAGACTGGCAAGAAATGTATCTCATTGTGGTATATTTAAAAAACTTGAAACAATCACTTTTCAGGGTCACTCTCCATTGGATTTCTTGCTCCCTTCCAAATACAGGAAAGCCGCTGAGGAGCTAAGTAACCTGCAGTTCTTCATTTCTGATATCCCAGCACCACCTTGTGGGGACAAGTTAGTATGAAAAATATAAAAAACAGAATCCACTCCCTAACATTCAGCAGGATCCAGGAGCTTCATGTGATCGTGACTGTTTGCTGAAGAGGGCGGAAGGAGGCACCACCATCTCTCAGGCTCCCTGTTGTGAAAGGGGAAGCATTAAGGTCACCTGCAATGAGCACCTTTAGTAGTGCATATAAATGTGTCTAACATGTCACGCAGGGTTCATGGCAAAGTCTTCAAAAGGAGACAGGAGCATCAGTGCTGGGTCTTAAGAGAGTAAAGGGAGCAGGGAGAGGACCAAACAAGGATAAGGCTGTCTCAGGAGGCGCCAGAGTATTAGCAGGGACTTTTTCACGACTCCCTCACCTCCCAATCCCTATGCACCCCCCCTCCCCCGCATGGGTATCTGCAGCCAACAGAGTTTCCCCTTTTACGGCAGAGGAGAAAAAACAAACTGGTGCAGCAAGTTGTTTGGAAGGAACAGTTGCTTTCTGTTTTTTAATAAAATGTACAAAGTAATAAAGTCTTACATGAGGCGATACAACAGAGCTGTTACAGAGATGACTCTGAGCTTCCCGAGGGGCCTCACAACACAAGACGGAGGCAACCATGTCTGACCAGCATTGAGTGGAAACAGATGAACATTGACACAACACACAGACCCACCTTGCCC